AAAAGAAGGCCTAGGAAGGGAGGGCGGAAAGAAGAAAGGTAGGGAAGAGGGCCGGGGGAAGAGAAAGAAAGATAGATAGGGAGAAGGGAGGGGGACCGCAAAAGGTCAGGAAGAGAAAGCGAGGGAGAGATATGGACGACAGATGAGAGAAGAGCTGCTGAGCGTATGGATGTTGGGGTGTGGGGTCGTGCAGGAGGCGAGTACCATTACCAAGGAATGAAAAGAAAGGGGTGTTTTTGGCGAGGGCAAGCGAGTGCGCATATGATTACAATAATGCGGGAAAGGGCGGAGTAGAAGGGGAAAAACAGGCGGAAGGGAAAAGAAGGAAGGAAATTGGGGTCGCCATGGACAGTAGAAGAGGGTGACGCGCGGAGGTTGAAAGTGACGTAGGAGATTGCGGAGAAAAAGAGGTCTTGAGGGGGTAGGGGAAAGAGGGAAGGGAGGGGACGTGGGAACATGTGGCAACATTTAGTGCGAGTTGTACACGGCCAGAGCCCGCGGGACTTATAAATGTGTGCGGTGTGTGGTGTGTATATATAGAGCCTCGGGTGACGTCACAACCGTCGCTATACCGCCGCCGATACACCGCTACACCTATATCGCTACAGTCGCCGCCGGCCGCCGCCGCCACACCCACCGCTTACACCCTCCACCCCCCATGCTACTGCCAGGGAGGGGGACGGGGAGAAAGGGCGGAGGGGGAGGGGGAGAAAGGGTGGAGGAGAGAGGAGGAGAAAGGATGGGGAAGAGGGGGAAAGAGGTTTGAGACGGAGAGAAGTTGGGGGAGGAGAGAGAGAGAAGAGTGGGTGGGGGAAGAGGAGAGATGAGAGAGAAATAGAGGAGGAGGCGAGAGGAAGAAGGTAAGGGCGGGGGATGGAAGGAGAGCGAATTTGGGGTGGAGAAGAGACGGGGAGTGGGGATGGGAGGAGATATAGGGAATAGGAGATAGGAGAGGATAGGAGGGATGAGAGAGGGTAGGGTAGGGGCGAGGAGGAAGAGGGTAGGGGGAGGAGGAAGAGGGTATGGGAGGAGGAGAGAGGATAGGGGGAAAGGGAGAGGGTAGGGGGAATAGGGATAGGAGTAGGGGGGAAGGGAGAGGGTAGGGGGAGGAGGGAGATGGTAGGGGAAAGAGGAGAGGGGACAAGGTAGGGGGAGGAGAATTGAGGGTTGGGGAGAGAGAATGGGAGGAGGGGGAGGAGGAAGAGTTGGGGGAGGAGGAGCGGCGACTTGTTGAAGGAGGAAGAGTGGGTTTGGGTCGAGAGCGAATTGAGAAGGGACAGGAAGAGGGAAGGGTGATGGAGAAAGGGGGTGAGGAGGACGAGGAGAAAGGGAGAGGAGGAGGAGAAAGAGTGGGGAACGAGGAGGAGGAGAAAGGGTCGAGACGGAGGAGGAGACAGGGTGAGAAGGAGGAAGAGGAGAAAGGGTGGGGGGAGAAGGGAGGAGGAGGGAAAGGGTCGAGACGGAGAAGGAGGAGGAGAGCGTTGGGAGGAGGAGAGGAGGAGAAAGGGGTGGGGGACGAGGAGGAAGAGTTGGCAGGATGAATTTCACAGCTCGGCAATCCGTGATCGAGCGCCCACCCGAACCTCCGGAATGGCCTTACCCGGAATACCCACAGACAAACGGGTTATCCGAAGCTGGGCGCGTCCGGCTTCCCTTTGCCGAGGGCCGGATTGGAAGAGAACCGAATTTCAGGAATGCCGGATCATCCGAATATGACCAGGGGGCTCTCGTCTATCGCCATTTACTGTTTTTTTTTCATCACTGTCACCTCTGCCCGTCTCTCATCTCTACCCCCCGAATTTATTTTCTCTCACCGAATTTATTTGTCCCTCTCATGAATTCTATTCTATTATTACCCATGATCACTTGGTGAACAATTTGAATCCAATGAACATGTCTGTACCTATCTGTTTTTGTGGCAGGGAGAGAGAAGGGGAGGGGGGAGGAGAGGGGAGAGAGGAGAGAGAATGGGAGGGGGAGAGAGAGAGAGAGAGAGAGAGAGAGGACGAGAGAGAGAGAGAGAGAGAGAGGAGAGAGAGAGAGAGAGAAGAGAGAGGAGAGAGAGGAGAGAGAGAGAAAAAGAGGAGAGAAAGAGAGAAAGAGAGAGAGAAGAAAGAAGAAAGAGAAAGAGAGAGAGAGAGAGAGAGAGAAGAGAGAGAAGAGACGAAGATGAGAGAGAAGAGAGATGAGAGAGAGAGAGAGAAAGAGAGAGAGAGAGAGAGAGAAAGACAGAGAAAGACAGAGAAAGAGAAAGACAGAGAGACAGAGACAGAGACAGAGAGAAAGAGAAGAGAAAGAGCCAGCCCAGCCATAATCCTCTTAACTGCCAACTTTAATAGGCATCTTACGCCCTACAGAATAAAAGGGGAATCGCAGTTTGTGAAATGGGAAGGTGAAAGGGCGGAGGGAATCGCAACTCTGGAAGCCTAATAAACGAAAGAAAATAAGCTAATAAATGAAAGAAAATAAGCTAATAAATGAAAGAAAATAAGCTAATAAACGAAAGAAAATAAGCTAATAAATGAAAGAAAATAAGCTAATAAATGAAAGAAAATAAGCCTAATAAATGAAAAAATAAGCTAATAAATGAAGAAAATTAAGCTAAAATAAAATGAAAGATAAAAATAAATGAAAGAAAAAAGAAGCAGCAGGATTCACAGATTAACCAGATGCGTTCTCCTGGGCAGTAGAAGACGCGATGATTACGAGTCTTTGGCTAAGTCCAATTTTCGAACCTTAAACAGTAATGATGATGATAATAACAACAGCAACCACAATACTAATGCTAATACTAATAATAATAATGAAATCAATAATAATCATTGTATCAATAATAAAATAATATAATAAAATAATAATAATAATAATAATAATAATAATAATAATAATAATTATAATAATGAAATCAACAATAATAATAATAGTATAAAACAATAATAAAAGTAGTAGCTGTAACAGCAACATATAACAATAATTAACAATGATGAAGGTCAGCACCATCACTACGCGAGACACCAAGATTAATGTAATTAAGCAAAATGGTGATAATAATATACTAAAAAAAAAAATAGTGAAACGACAACAGCGAACAACGCCGACTGTCACAGTATGCCAACAACTGATTGACCTCCGGATTGCCAAAACAGGAAGCTGGCACGCGTGTGAGTGACGGAGCTGACGTCCCAAGAGGCAAGAGTTGAACAAGTCCATTAGGAGTTGAACAAGAGCCGAGCAAGAGTTGAACAAGTCCATTAGGAGTTGAACAAGAGCCGAGCAAGAGTTAACAAGTCATTAGGAGTTGAACAAGAGCCGGCAAGAGTCGAAGGGTTGCAAAAAGGAGCTGAACAAGTCAAAGGGGTTGAAAAGCGGCCCAAGAGTTGAACAAGTCCAGTTGAACAAGAGCCGAACCAAGAGTCGAAAGGGTTGAAAAAGCGCTGAACAAGTCGAAAGGGGTTGAAAAGTGGCCAAGAGTTGAAGAGG